TTGGTGGCCGGTATATGGGCGCAAAAGCGCCATATGTTCCCCCGGCCGATGAAGGGCGCAGCATAAGAAAAGAGCGAGAAGAGAAATAAAAGAAGTAAACAAAACGGGTGCCTCCTCACTATACTTCGCCCCGCCCTAACCATCCTCCACACGAGGAAGGACGATGGAACTTTGGCAGCTGTGCCCCCGACAGACAGCACACCCGCCCTTGATGCACCTTGATGGGGCACGCGAGGAGCGGAGGGCAGGAGGCGATCGAACCGCCCCCGTCCAGGGAACCCCTAGCCGCGAAAACTTGACGCCCACGCACGAAAAAAAACAAAAACGAAAAACAACCCACTACTGACGGCCGTGACAACAGTACCCCCGCTTTCCCTGAAGGGGGTATACACCAGCACAACTCCCGCGCAATTATTTATTTATTTACTCTCTCCTCAAACAGCAGCAGCGGTTAGAGAAATAAAACTTTTTTCTTTTTTGCCGTTTTCCGCGCAAACTTCCTCTCCTCTGCTCGATGCTAATCTCTGTCGTGGCGGCTTGCGGCCTGCACGCACAAGCGCAGAGAGAGAGAGAGAGAGAGAGAGAGAGAGAGAGAGAGAGAGAGAGAAGTGCAGAGCCTGTGAGGGCCTCGTAATTATTGTCTTTGACGTTCTTCGAGTTGACGTTTCCTATGAGGTGCGCCACAGAGTCTCCCTCTCACTCTCTCCCCCTTTTCTCTCTCTCTCTAAGGCGACTTCCTATTCAGGGGGGCAGAAGAATCACTGCCATTATTCCCCGCATTTCCCCCGTCGCGCGAGCCCTTCAATTTTAAGCAAAATGCATCAGCAAAGAGGACGACGCCGCCGCCCTGGCTGGTCGGCCTTCTCACGGGCATGCGGCGCACCGGAAGTCAACCAAAGCAACACCGCCGGATACGCGGCGGCAATTTTTCAAATAATTTCCATCATTCTTTTCCAGAAAATTTTGCCCTGCCGCCTCCCTCGCTGTCCCCCTGCGGGCAGAATACTCATCCTCCATGAGAAAAAACCCTTCCTTTCACCTTTTGTGCGGGAAACAACACTTGAAAACGACGCGCCAATTTTTGATTATAGAGACTTTTTTGCGTGAAAAAATTGGGCTCAATTTTCATAACTCTTTTTTCAGGCAGTTATTGAAAGGGGGCTCATACTTTTCGACCAGTCGTGGCTTTCTCGTTGACCGACGCGGAGCCTCGCGGGTCAGGACACCGATGACGCGGCCCCACCCCGCCCGCCAGGTCGCCGCCAGTGGGGTGTGGCGCAAGCGCGGCGAGTCGGCGATAGCGATCGTGGCAAGCTGTGTGATGGCGGATATACCGCGGCTGACTTACGACTTGGCCGAGCGGCCGCCCAAACGGCTAGACCAGGGCGGCGGCATGGGTGGGCTGCCAGGCCCGGCCCCGGGAGCCTATGGGGCCGCCCTGCAACACCCTGTTCAATATGCAGCAGCAGCGGCCGGCATAGCACTCACCCAATCAACTGATGTATTTCTTTGACCCTCGCGGCCATCAGGACTCGATTCCCTGCTGCAAACTGATTCGACCGTTTGTTGCGGAATAATCGACTATATGGGTGATTCTTTTTTACCCACACAACTCTTTTTCCCCGAGGCAACCTAGTACATAGTTATTGGTAAACATTTTTTTTTCTGATAATTTGTCATTGGCAACTAATTAAAAGTGAGCTGCCACCGGGGCGAGCAACCGCCTTGACATCATTATTAAAGACTCGATTCATTTTGAGACGCTGTCGTCGTGCTGGCTGCGGGCGGGGCCGGGCGACGCGGCAGACCGAACCAGAGTCCTGTAGTGAGACTAAGGACTGTAGAGGCCCCTCCTGCCGAGTGGAACTGTTGTAGAGGACTCTAGGCCGGGGGCCAAATGGGTGCACCAGCGCCGAGCGGGGCGGGGCAAAAGAGAGCTACATTTCGAATAATATTCCGTCGTCGCGCAGAAACCTCGAGCTGCTCTGTTCGGTTGCGTTTAAGCCCGCAGGGGAAAAGGTGGAAAGGGGGAAAAAGGGGGGGGGGCGAGGTGAGGAGAAGTAGGAGGAGGAGGTGGTCGTGCGGGATCCATGTCCTCTGCAATTTGGGAGGAGTCCGATCGGGGACGATGATCATTACTACACCCCCCCTTCTCCCCCCTCTAGCACTCCCCCCCCCTCCTAACTCTGCCCCTCACCTCCGCCGAATCGTGCGAATCGACCCAACTTGATGGCATAATAGAAATGCTGGAGCAATAAAGATAAACTTACAGTGAGATTCATAAAGTAGGAAGGCTTTTTTTTGTTCTTCTTTAAACAAGCCAATTCTGTTAATCCGCTGTTATTCTTTTTTTTTTTAAGAAGCGCGACCGTCTACAAAACAAACAGGGCAGCAGAGATTCCCGCTAATTTCGGCGACCGGACGGGCGATTTGTGTTTTGTTGACGTGTTTTGTCCACGTCGTCGTCGTCGTGGTGGGTGGTGTCGGGTTCGTGTGCGGGGCGCAGCTCCAACCCGACACTACACTACGCTACGGGACTGCAGCGCGTCTCTCTCTCTCTCTCTCTCTCTCTCTCTCTCTCTCTCTCTCTCTCTCTC